AACTCAGTGAGATCCTGTCTCTTAATAAAAATACAAAATAGAGCTGGGGGTGTGGTGCAGTGGTCAAGTGCTCCTGAGTTTACCCCTCAAAAATAGACTATTCTCATTCTACCACTCAACCCTCTTCCCCTTATGATCCCAGGAAATAATTCACTTGAGGAAACCCTGGCCAGGGTTCCATGTCCACACTGATGCAAAAATAAATATGAAGGTCTCTTAAATCATTTATAAAATATTGGTCTAAATTTTTTTACAAAATCAGTGTGTTAAATAGGAGTGAAAAATTCCCAAAACTCTGTAAAAATTCTCTAAAGTTCTCAATAGTGACAGAACGAACTGTTCTCTGCATTTTAAAGAAAGATCTAACTAGTATAAATTACCACTGTGGGTTAATCCATTCATTCATTTAAAAAATATTTACTGAACCCTTAGGCTTGGTACTGTCACAGTGAACAGAACCAACAAAAATCCCACATTCATGAAATTAATGTTAGCAATTCAATATCATTAGGTTGGCTATATGCTTAGATTGATCTTTTAAACCCATAGAAAATATGAACTATATAAATACTACTAAACATTGATTTTCTGGTACTTTACAATCTCAATTAGACATGGTGGTAAGGTGAAAATAAGATGGGCTCATTGCAAAACACAGAATTTAAAGCAAAACAAGCAATCAATTCAAGAAACCTGAATGTGCTTTGAACTTACTAGACACAGTTGATAAAGAAATCCTTATTTGAGTAAGCAATTTTTTTGATAAATAACTTTGTGAAACTTAAGAAAGATCAAGAAAAGTAGGCAGATTTTACATAGTCATAATAGGGTGGGTTGTTGCTAGTATTACCTATCTTACTTGTTTATTTAAAGAATAATCTGTAATTTGCTAAAGTTGAGAGTAGAATAGATGTTTGTGGTCCCTGAAATTTTGGTGTAACACAATTATTTAAATTCATATTGGCAGTTACAGATTAATATTGGCCACAGTGTTCAAATTGCACAAAATTGTATTTTATGTAGCCAAGTAGTTAAGCAACTTCCAAATGCATCAGATTTATGTCCAAGTTTAGATCATAGCCAATGTTCAGACGGCCCGACACTAAACTTACTTTATTAAATTTTCCAGTCTCTCTGTTTTGCAACGGTGTTTCTGAACTACTATATTGAAGTAGCTCAGGAAGCAATAAGAACAGGATTCTTTGGTGGGAGGGAAGGGTATGAGTGAGTTGTATTTTTCTTTTTATCAAAACATCATTGTTTAAAAAATGAAAAAGATAAACTTAGGAGGTAAATTCAAGTAGCTCTAATGATGGAGGCAAGTGGACAGGGCTCACTATTGTGGTTCCTACACCACAATCCAGGGCTGAGGGGTGACAATGCAGTCTATTAGCAGCAAGTTTGGAAGAGGAATATTTTGATTCTGTAATGTGTCTGGTTTCCCTCTGTCAACTTTCTCCTTTTCCAATACAGTGAAAAACTTATTGCTTTCTGACACATTTAAATTTTTTTATTTTATAAATTTGTCAACATGCCAGATCCCTTGAATTCATGTTTCTTTCCCTTCTTGCCCTTATAGTCTATTAGCAGAAACAGGTACACTAATAATGCAACGTCACATCAAAAGAAAAAGTGCTCCATGTGACCTGAGTCTGAAAACTCCCCAACCTCTAAAGTCTCAAGTCAAAAATGAATGTATTCTGTGTAGACCTTTTCCTAAAGACTTTTCTCTGCTAAGTAACAGCAAGCACAGTGGCACACATTGGTAATCTCAGCGACTGGAGTGGCTGAAGCAGGAGGACTGCAAGTTTGAGGCCAGCCTCAGCAACTTAGTAAGAGCCTATAACAAATTTAAAAAATAAAACAAAATAAAAAGGACTGGGGATGTAGCTTAGTGGTAAAGCCTCCCTGGGTCCAATCCCCAGCACAGACGAGGTAGGGGGACATGGGAAATAGCAGTGAATATTGGCCTAAAAACCCAGTTTGCAAATTAACAAAAAGGGAAATAGCATCTCTTTTAGAAGAAAGGTCTAGTAAGCCAAGGAAGCTAGCCTTTCAGGGAGTACAAAATTGATTTTATTAAAATATGATTTTAACTGAGTTCTAAATTTCTAGTTCTGATTTAACTAAATTTAACTGAGTTCAACCACCTAAAAATTTGATGATGATAAACAAATGTGCAGTGATCATAACCTCCACTACAGTGGCTTCTGAACATATCTGGAGGTGAGCCAGAAGGCAAGCTAAAAACTGATCCACTGTCCAACATGAGACAGTACTTCTTGGGCACCTTCAAAAGCTATATAAAATATACAATGTTTGTGGCAACAGACGGAGAGGTTTTCTCAAGTCATAATATTCAAAAGACAACACCACCACTACAGTTAACTGTATAACTTGTTAGCAAGTTATTCCAATGTTTGGAGCTTGAAGAAGATGAAGTTTGGAGATATCTCGATGTGGCCAGCACATCTTACCTTGGCCCTCAGCATATTCCTATGAATGGGTAGCCAGTTACCCTGGCTATCCTCCAGGAAAGCAATCTCCCCAATTCAATTTAACAAAGTGCTCTCATAAATGAGGCATCTTTTTCTAGTAATAAACTCCACGGTTAACTTTTAGAGTCCTAACCTTATTGTATAAACCATTTTTAAACAGTTTTTCACTATATATAAAACATATTCCCTGACAGGCAGCTAATTATCTAAATGATGTCACCAAATCCTTGTAGAGGACCAAACCTCTTACAGAACTTCCTCGTTCCAACAGACAAAATGAGGGCCCTTGGAATGCCAACAGCTGTGACTAAAATGAAAACCATTTCTTCTAAAGTTAGTGAGCTTCTTTTATAGGATCTTTGGGCTCTTGCAGGCAGGGGTCCCAGCTGTTGTCCAGAATTTCCCCCACTTAGTACACTGACAGTTTCGCAGACTCTGTCCCTGCAATAGGTCTGGGATGATTAACTGACTCACATCCCTGATCATTTATATAAAACAACACTGTGGACAGTGGTTTTTAAATGTCATGACTTGAATAGACTAATGTGTGACCAATAGAACCTTTTCCCTTATGAACTAATAGCCTAGAAAACTCAGGCATGGTGAAAATTAGGACCAAAAAAAGTTGAAAAGGTAAAAAGCAATTATTTACTTTCCATTATGCAGAGAACACTGTATAACATGCACAATGATGAGGTTAAAAATAAGTTCCAAAAGTTGTATCATCTGTTGGGTAAAACCTCCAAAACAGATCTTAGGATATGTACAAGCAAATACACTAGCAGATGCCTCTAAAAACTCTATTTTACACTCTCAAGGATGCTTTTCAACTAGGATATTTTGCATCCCAGGGGTATTTAGCAAGGTCTGGGGGCATTTTTGTTTGTCACAACTTCAGGGATTGAAATTGACTTGGCATTTAATGATCAGAGGTCAGAGATGCTACAATGTCCCACAAAGCACAGGACAACTCCATGACAGCGAATTACCTGACCCAGAATATTAATGATCCTGAGGTTGAGAAACACTGCTCTAGAGCAGTAGCGTCCAACTGAAATTTAATATGAGCCACATACATAATTTTAAAATGTCTAATGGAAGCATTAAAGTAAAGATTGAGGCAAAGTAAAAATAGAAAATCAGTTTAATAATATATTTTATTTAACCTAATATATCCAAAATATTATAATTTTAACATGGAATCAATAGTTTAAAATACTTGAGATATTTTACATAATTTTTGTGTAAGTCTTCAAGAAACTTTGTGTAAGGCTGGAGTTGTGGCACAGTGGTAGAGCACTTGCCTGGATTTTTAAAATAGAGTTTTATAGCTGGGTGTGGTGGTGCAGGCCTGTAATCCCAAGGGCTCAGGAAGAGGACCTCATTTGAGGCCAGCCTCAGCAACTCAGAAGGCCCTAAGCAACTTAGCGAGATTCTGTCTCAAAATAAAAGGGGAAGGTTGGAGATGTGGCTCAAGTGGTAGCGCGCTCGCCTGGCATGCGTGCGGCCCGGGTTCAATCCTTAGCACCACATACAAACAAAGACGTTGTGTCTGCCGAGAACTAAAAAATAAATATTAAAAAATTCTCTCTCTCTCTTTCTCTATTAAAAAAAATAAAAAATAAAAAAAAAAATAAAAGGGGGACAGGAGCTGGGGTGTAGCTCAGTGATGAAGCAACCCTGGATTCAATTCTAGTACCCCCCTCCAAAAAACAAACAGAGTTGTCTACCACAGACTGATGAGTGTTGATTTCATTAATTGAATGGTGAATGAAATCAAATAAGATATGGCCAAAGAGCAATTTTGAATGTCTTAGAACATGGAACACTTACGTTCATCCACCCTGTACATTTAAAATCTCCAAAATGTACTAAAACTATTTATCTAACATAAGTGCTCTAAATTTTAGAGCCTCTTCCTTCCACACAAAATTTAAAACAACTTTTGAATTGCAAATAAAAAAGTTTCATTGAGTGCCAGATCAGTCAGTCAGCACCATTTATTTAGCTAGCATTGTACATAAACCATTATATTATCCAATAAAAGGGGATTAAAAACAGCTTCTCTGAATTGCTTGCAATCTTCTTGGGAATAAATAAATGATAACATATGAAAATGATTTTAGGACATTTACAAAGCAACATTTTATTGAGTGTTTCTATGAACATTACTTTATACTCTGGGGCATTTTAAAATAATATAGTTCCCTTTGTTGATGTAGGAATAGCTAAATATCATAGAAATCTATTAAAATTTACTGCCTCCAAATCATCCAACTAAGCCAGTTACAAACAATTAAGTGCAGCTTTATTTAGAGCTGCACTCCAAAAAGCTACACATAAGAGTAGTTAGTTACATAGTTTACCCTTTCAAAAATAATTCCTCAAGTGTTATCTTTTCAGAAAAGAGAAACCTCATGGCTAGAGTTCACAAAAACATCTGTGCTGCCACAAAAATTTCACCAAATTGAAAATCAGCATTCTTTCTCACAGCAATGGCACCTTTGTAAGGGCTGGGGGACCCAACCCATTGGCTGATGTCTGCATCTTCTTTTGCCTTCAGTTTAATGCCAAACGTATCCTAAAAAAAGAAGACACTGTCATTTGTATATATTTATCTGGTATTTTGGTAAGCAAGACAAGAATCTGAGAGAAGTTCTTAGAACTTTTAACCAAGTACAGAAATGTGCACAAAACAGAAACACACAATGATTCATTATCTAGAAAATTTATCTCAAGCATCTGGAGAAGCAAAGATAGCTAGAAATATGAGATCTGTGCCAAAGGAACCTGAAATGCATTCTATGCAATCACATTTTTAATTCAATGCTTCATATGCTGTTTTCTAAGAGAATGGATTTATTAGTTTCAAATAATAAAAATTAGAATTCTGAAATTTGACTCTCCTTTAAGGACTTAAAAATCTTATTTACAACTCAACAGTGAAAAAACAAACAACTCAATTAAAGATTGGGCAAAGGCTTTGAATGAATATTTCTCTAAAACAAGATATAAAAGTGGCCATTGATCACATGGAAAGATGCTCAAAATCACCAAATGTTAGTGGAGATTAGAAACTTCTGGAGATAGATGGTAGTGATGGGTGCACTTAATGCTACTGCAATGTACACTTAAAAAATGATTAAAATGATAAATTTTGTTTTAAGTATATTTTACCACCAGCCCAAATTTACTGCCTCCAAATCAGCCAACTAAGCCAGTTACAAACAATTCAGTGCAGCAAAACCCAAGAAAACTTCTGCAAAGGAGTTTCAATTGAGTACATACACAAGTCATTTAGGGCATTCTCTTTGGGTCTTTGCTATGATCCTGTGCTTGATCACTTCCTTGTGCTCCAGAGAGAGAAACAATGGGTACGTACAAAGCCTGGTGGATTTACCTTTTTCCTGTGCACTAAATCCCTCTATTGGCCACCAGATCACTTGATGTCACACAGGTATCTCAAAACCAGAATGTGACCTGAATTTAACGTCATCTCTCCACAGCTGCTTTTCCTCTTTTAATCCTTATTCAGATTTTGGGATCACAATCCTTTTAGTCTTCCAATCCAAAAATCTATGAGCTATTCTTGGTTTCTCCTCTTCAGAGAAGAAACCCTGCATCTAATTCATCAAGAAAAGCTGATTTGCTCATTGTTGGGCCTCCACCCATAGCTCTCCGACACCATTCTGCTGCTCCAGAATGAAGGCCTATTCATCACACTGCACCAAGCCTTCGGCAATTTAGGCAAATGAAGAGGAGACAGGCTGGATAAATGATAAGAGAATGAAGATCTACAGTGATTGAATCTGTTTGGGCTTACCCTATGAAACAAGAAGGAAGACATCTGTACTTCTTCACAAGGTTCTTCTCAATGTCCATTTCAGTTACAAGGTCCTCAACATAAAGAAGGGGAAAGTTCAGAAGCACACCATAGAATATTCATTACATTGTTGACTGCTGAGAAGAAACAGGCTGCTTTTACCTATCCTGAGCTGAGAGCATCTAGATTTTGATTGGATTGTTGCAAGAGCTCATTAGCATAGTGTACCCTGACCTGGAATAGGGAACAGGAAAATGACCAGAACTTACTGGGACCTGAACGGGAGATGAGTTCTTGACAATATTGTCTACATCTGGATAAGAAGTCAGAAGGTTGATCCATCTATATCAAGAACCTTTGAGAGCAAATTCTCAAGTTCAAATTGAAGGAAATTGAATAGAGGAAAACGTGTGGGTGACCTGACTTTATCATGGAACCTGAAGACTTTGATTCTGAAGACAAAGAGGTATTAAACTGGGACATTAATGACATGAAACTGCCACAGAATGTGAAAAAGACCAACTGGTTCCAGGAGTGGCCAGATTCCTATGTGAAGCACATATACAGCTCAGAAAACAGGAATGCACAGCGGCACCTGAGCAGCTGGGCCATGCGCAACACTAACAACCACAACTCTCGCATCCTCAAGAAGTCCTGTCTGGGTGTGGTGGTGTGCGGCCACAACTGCTCTACCAAGGAGGGGCGCAAGGTCTACCTGAGACCTGTGATCTGTGACAAAGCCCGGCAGAAGCAGCAGAAGAAAAGTTGTCCCAACTGTAATGGGCCTTTGAAGCTGATTCCTTGCCCGAGGCCATGGGGCTTCCCCGTCACCAACTTCTGGAGACACAATGGACGCTTCATATTCTTCCAGTCAAAGGGAGAGCATGATCATCCAAAGCCAGAAACCAAGTTAGAAGCTGAGGCAAGAAGAGCAATGAAGAAAGTGCATGGGGCACCTGCCTCTGTCTCCCTAAAGCTGAAGGGAACCCAGGATCCAAGTCTCTTCCAGGTGAAACACAAAGTCAGGGAAGTTTACCTTTAACTTGGTCATTCCAGGAAGGTGTCCAATTGCCTGGCAGTTACAGTGGACATTTAATAGCTAACACTCCCCAGCCGAATTCACTGAATTCTCCAAGAGTTATGGTTCAGGGGGAACCACTGATCTGGCAGACCCGACTTCCACCTTAGACCCCACTAAGCTGTATGAAAAATGCAGATTTTCCAGTAATAGGATCTACAATAGTGGAGACCTGTTTCAGCCTTCAGCCTCTGGAGTCTACTCAGATTATGACAATCTGCAAGCATGGAATAAAAACGCTGCTTTGGGGAGAAGCCCTCTCAATGACAACTATTGTCCCAATTATCCTTTTCCTCTGACCAGCTGGCCTTGTGACTTCTTTCCTTCCCAGAATTCTTTGGAGAACTTTCCCCAGCAGATTCCCCTGGAACCACCTGCTGCCAAAACTAGCTGCCACCCATTATGGCCAAATCCAGGGGGCGAGCTTTATGAAGAGAAAGTGCCTGTGGATTTCAACAGCTACATTCCTTCTCTTGCTTACCATCCACCACAGGAAGACCCCTTTCTGTTCACCTATACCCCCCATCCTCACCAGCAATGCTCCCTGCCAGGCAAGAGCACCAAGTGGGATTTTGAGGAAGAAATGACATATATGGGTTTGGATCATTGCAATAATGAAATGCTTCTAAACCTCTGTCCTTTAAGATGACTTAAATTTTTTCGACAATCCCTTCCCTCCTGCAAAAAACAAAAAAACAAAAAAACAAAAAAAACCCCAAAAAACAAAAAAACAAAAACAAAACAAACAAACAAACAAAAAACTACTTTGAGAAATGGCTGGAAGAATTTCCTTAGGAAGCAGCTTTTAAAACATAACTACAGATAAATGGGAATCACAACAAGTGGTAGGCAAAACATTTTTCATGCAAATAATCTTTTTGCCTCCTCCACCCTAATGCTTCCATCCTCAGTAAGGACTAGAAACTTACCCAGCCTGCTGTGTGAAATGCCCTCTGATCTCCCCACCCCACACTCATTGTTTGGGGCTTTTAGCACCTCTGCTACCTATTGGGTTTCATTGTCACAGACATATATCAAATGGAGCAAAGATGTGAAGAGACCACCTGCTTAGGATCTCCTCCATGCCTTCTTTTTCATAACAAAAAATGACAGAATCCAGAAACAGAGGGTAGAAAGAGCTGCAGAAATATATAAAGATAAATAGTCTAGAATTGATATATTTAATACTTTGTTTAGTAATCAAATTCATTTATAAAATATATATTTTCTAGTTGATTTCTAAGACTTGTCAAGACGAGAAGCATGAACTAACTCCATAAAGGACAGCAAAACTAAATGGACACATGAAGAGAATTCCAGTGTTCTCCTACATTACTCACGTCCTTCTCCCTCCTCCTCGCTGACTAAACCTTTTAAAGGGATTCGATTCTGTCCGATTTATGCTTATTCTTTATGGCACCTAGCTCAGTGCCAAGTTCATAATATGTAAGAACTGTTTGCTTAGAAAAGTATCTTTGGGGACTGGGCATGTTGCTCAATGCTGAGGTGTATTTAGAACGCACAAGTCCTTGGGTTCAATCCTCAGTACCGAAGAATAAGAAAGAAAAGTCTGTACAATTAACATGGTCATGATTAGCTAGCCATATTTGAATGCCAGTTCCTCCTCTTTGCTGAAGTGTGTTAATGCAAACAAATAAGTATTTTTAAAAATAGATGATTTTTTTATTTGTAACAAACCACATGATATAAAATTAAAAAGTAAAAAAGAAAAAAGAAAAAAGAAAAGCTGATTCTCACACCCCTCAGATTGCCCTTCTCCATTCTTCCCAATATTTCTTTAGTACCTACTAGTCTCTCTAGTGTCACTTTATCTTCTTCTTGTCATCATAGCATCACCGTGTCATCAGAGTGACCTTTCTATAATGCAAATATGTGTATGTTCCTTCCATCTTTGAAAAACTAAAATAAGAATGCCTGCTTCTACCATCAGGGCAACTCCTATTTCAGGAAATAGAGCCTCAGATGGAAAGAATATAAAATAGGAACTTAGCTGTATGCAATACCTTTTGACCAAGTTTACAGTGTAATTCTGGCATATATCACTGGGGAAGCATTCATAAATTGAAACTCCCCAGGCATAAACTCATCTCAGGAAAGAGTCCTTCAATTTTTATACTCCTCCCACTCTGACTCACACCCTAAATTTTTTAAATTTTTTAATTATGTCTTTTGTATGTTAAAAATTAATAACCCAAAACCTACAATAAAGATGGCGATGGCATCTGTGATATCACTAAGCAGTGCGCCATCTTAGAAACAGAAAGTCACACACCCCGAGTTTAAGCAGCCCAGTACTTCCTGTGCTGCTGAGGTCTAAGTCTGTGGCATCCTAGGAAGGTGGGCCACCATCATTTGAAATGCAAGTGAGTGTGATGAAAGTCCAAACTTTTACCTTACAATCTTCTAAAAGTCTAAAATATGATGAATGCCCAACCAAAAAGGAGATTTAAAAAGTAAGGATTAAGTGATCGTTATCCACAATTATTTTTTTATTTTTTATTTCAGTTTGACTCAGCTGAGTCGGCTGAAAAACCCTTAGAAATCAGTCAAGAAAGGTACCTGAACATAAGGTAGACATGAAAAAGACCCATAGCTTTCTTGGAAATCCACCCCCACTCAAAAAAAAGTTAAACCATATGAAAAATAGCCCTATTTTCAGGAGCAACAACAACAACAACAAAATCTTAAAAATCACCTTTTAAAAATATGTGGGCTGGGGCTGGGGCTGGGGCTGGGGTTGTGGCTCAGGGATAGAGCACTTGCCTAGCATGTGTGAAGCACTGGGTTCAATCCTTAGCCCCACATGTAAATAAATGAATAAAATAAAGGTCCATCAACATGTAAAAAAAAATTATATATATATTGTTGAGAGCCACAGCCGAAGGGGCCCCAGCAAACTTCCAGCTGCCGGCTGATGATTGGCTCACAGCGGCCCCAGCAACATCTAGCTGATTGGCTCCTCGGCCCCAGCAACATCTAGCTGATTGGCTCCTCTGCGGTGATGCTCATTGGGCTGTTTCCCTGCCCTTTCAGACCACGGAGCTGCTCATTGGGGGACTTTTTTGGCTCCACCACGTGACCCAGCCAATCGGCCTCAAGAGCAGGAGGATTGTGGGAGGTGGAGAGAAGCTTGTGTGGGAGAGAGAGGCTTGTGGAAAGCCGGTGGTGGCAGTTGAGGCTCTGAGGGTTTTTCCTGAGAGGCTGTTTTGTTTGGCGTGTGTGGTTCTAAAAATAAAGTTAGTTTCTTTTGACAAGTGGCTCCTGATTGTGCCCAGCCAGACTGTGCAATATATAATTACAGTGGCCCATGCCTGTAATCCCAGTGGCTCAGGAGGCTAAGGCAAGAGGATTGTGTGTTCAAAGCCAGCCTTAGCAAAAGTGAGGTGCTAAGCAACTCAGTGAGACCCTGTCTCTAAATACAAAATAGGGCTGGGGATGTGGCTCAATGGTAGCATGCCCCTGAGTTCAATCCCTAGTACCAAAAAAAATATATTTTATATATATATAGATAGATAGATAGATAGATAGATAGATATGACTACAGTGGCATAGCCACACCAATGTTTATAGCAGATCAATTCACAATAGCCAAATTATGGAACCAACCTAGGTGCCCTTCAATAGATGAATGGATAAAGTAAATGTGGTACATATACAATGGATTACTCAGCCTTAAAGAATAATGAGATTATGGGATTTGCCAGTAAATGGATAAATCTGGAGAATATCATGCTAAGGGAAATACCTCAATCCCCAAAACAAAGGCCAAATGTTTTCTCTGATATGCAGATGCATATTCACAGTAAGTAGGGGGGCTAGGGAAAAATAGAGATACTTTGAATTAGGTAGAGGGGCATGTAAGGAGGGGAGGGGGTATGAGGGTAGGAAGGATAGTAGAAGAAATTGGACATTATTACCCTATATATATGTATGATTACACAACCAGTCTAATTCTACATCATGTACAATCAGAAG